CTCTGTGTCTCTGTGTCTCTGTGTGTCTGTGTGCGTGTGTGCGTGTCTGTCTGTGTGTGCGTGTGTGCGTGTCTGTCTGTGTGTGTGCGTGTCTGTCTGTGTGTGTGCGCGTGTCTGTCTCTGCGCGTGCTCGGTGTGTGTCTCTGCGCGCGTGTGTCTGCGTGCGGGGCGGGTGGGCGGGTATGTGTGTCTGTCTGTCCTGTCCTGTCCTGTCTGTTTGTCTGTCTGTCTGTCTGTCTGTCTGTGTCTTGGTGTTGAGGTTTCTTTGTGAAAACCAAACAAACGGCCCGTCTTGGCGCTGCTTGCGAACATAGTGGGGCAGGTCACGGATGAGAGCCTCGAGGCTCTCCGTGGATCGCTGGCGCAGAAATCGCAGAAGTGGGAGCAAGAGGCGGGTGTGGCCATGCGCCAAAGCAGGCCTTACATGGCTGAAGAGGCCACAGCAACACCCTCACAACACGGGTGCCTTCACCGCCCAGGCGCAGCGCATTGACTACAGGATGAACTTGATAAATGAGCAGATGGGGCAGGCCAGCTGTAACCAGCCCCAGCTTTTGAGTCGCAAAAGCGCGGTGTCCGGGAATGGTGAGCTGGAGCAGCAAGGTGAGCCAAGTGGCGCAGGAGAGGTCAGAGGCGGGCCACTTGCGGTGGAACAATTGAAATCGACCAGAAATCAAGCTACGCGCAATGGCCAGGATGTAGTTAAATGATCTAAGTGATGTCCTTGCTGCGCACAGGGAGTTTAAGCGGTTGCTTGCAAGGGAGGCTGCACGCGTGTTCACTGTTTGCCCAGGCAGCGACACTCCTGGTGAGTGCTGCTCTAGCCGCCGCGGTATGTTTATTGAGCTGCTCTCAGGAACTACCTTGCGAGCCAGAGTGCAATTTTGGAAGAAGGCGCTATCCAGTGTGTGCCAACAAACCCAACGCTCTTTCGCCCCGCAAACCCGTGCCGGTTCGCGCAGAAGGGCTCCAAAACGCGGTCTGACAACACGACGCGCCAGGCTGACTTTCGCATGGGTGAACTCCGGGATCAGGTGCTTTCCGAATTTCGACCGTGATGCCAAGGTTGGTTTATTGAATTATCTTTGGTGTAGTTTTGGAGAGGCATGCCGGGAGGACACTGGGTGTCAGATCTGGAAATTCGGCTCAGGCGCCAGCAGCTATGCCATTTATCCTGGACCAAGTGAAACACTGTGGGCATGCAGAAAAATTTGCTGTTGCTTCCTGCGCTGACCAGCGAGACGGCTTTCCCCATTCAAAGAACAATGGAGGACTCCTGGGCGCCCAGCGCCCAGCAGGCCAACGCTCTGCGGGAGCTGCGACATTGCGCCGCCGGTGTGGCGCGGGGCGTCCTGCGCTTGGGCCAGGCGGCGGCGTTGGCTGACTCAAGCGCACGCTGTTTGGTTCTTTCGCAGAATAAGCAGCGTTTGGTAAGCAGCGTTTGTGGCTTTAAAGCAGGCGACAGAGCTCGTCAAGCGGTGTTTCACAGGTGTGAGTTGTGGAGCCAAGACCAACGGACAGGTTCTGGCCCGGCGTCGGTTTTTAGCTTCCTTCCGACGCCAGCGACGACAAGCGTGGCAACAACCAAAGGCTGCGGAAATAGGTTCTGTGATGTACTGCGACATGGCAATCATGTCTGCGACGTGGGCGAAACTGGGCTGAGGTGCTTGGCAGCACGGACTGGGCTTGCGCTGTGTGTGTGGGTTGGGCTGGGCCACAGCCGCGTCAGGAAGGCTGGGCCAGACAAGCAACCGCCGAAGCTATCGCCAACCCACCCAACAAGTTTCATTAGCGCCTCATAGACACGACGGTTTCCTCTCACAGACTTTACAGACAAGCAACCCGTTTCCGAAGACACGCGCAGAGTGTCTCTTTTTGCACAAGCGACATTTTAGGCAGCGCCGGCTGTCTACGAATCAGAGCAGATTTCAAGTCAAAAGGGCGCAGACCTGCCTTCACGATACGGCTACGTTAAAACGCTTGGCTACGGAAGGTCGACAGAGATTTGTGGCGCAAAGGGGAAAGGATAATGCGACGATTCTCTTTGGAAAGAGGTATCGGAGTGACCCTAAGAAATTCGCCGACTTCTCTTTTTCCCGCGCTTTCACCGCTTTTAATCTTGTTACGCTTGTTCTTACACACGAGGGCGAAGCTCAAGTAGAGGCCTATGTCTTGAGTGAAGATTACCCATGTGGTGCTGCAGCCCTTGGAAAACAGAAGCCTGTCCTCGAGCAGAGGTTGTGTGTTTTTTTGGCTTTTTTTGGGTTCACCTCAACACAGGTAGGCAACTCGTTCCTGTGGACAAGGTAGCTCCCACCCCTGCAGTGAAGTGTAGAGCGCCGCTCAGTTCCGCGCGCCAGGACTTGCGGCTCAAACTTAGGGCAGGCCTTGATCAAGCAGTTAGACAGCAATCGAAAGCGCGTGGACTAAGGAAACCCGCAAGCAATTAGTCTTAGAACTGCGGCCGCCTCTTCTGTTTGATCGTGCCTGCGTAGAGATTGATCTGTGAGGGTATTTGCTGCGTGCTGTGTTTCGCATCCGCCGGTGGGTTCTTGGTGAGCGGCGAGTCATTCAAAGCGCCGCGCGCTGCGCTCAACGCAGCTACCAGCGTGCGCGTAACGCGCGCCGAGTTGGGCTGCTGGTCGGTGAGTTGGTGGTACTTCACAATGCTTCTTTACCAACAGACATGTCGTGGCTCATTTGGACCCATCTCGCCGCCCGCTTGCAATGCTGGCGCCACCTTCGGCACGGCCAGCGGAGTTAAGCTCACAGCTCAGCCTTACAGGATGGGCCCTTCATTCAATCACATCGCCAAGAGAACTGGCCATGGTTTTCAATCCGAACTGCACGCCTTTGGGGAGGATTTTTCAACGGCCTGTTTTCCACTTGCAAGAGAAAAGGTGTGGGCTGAGCCCCGATCAAGTTTTTACCACGCCCCAAAGCACAGAGACGGGCTGATGCGCCTACTCTGTTAGCGAGACTGCTGACCGCACAGCGAAGGTGCGCTGCTGGAGATCGACCCGGCTGCAAACCCGGCCAACTACTGGCGGCGGAACGCGTGGGACGTTGAGGCCTGGGAACTTGAGCGGCTCGCTCCCCACTACTGCCCTTTGCGTGAGGAGGAGTCAGTGTATAATCCGGTTGCCCCTGGCCCGGGGAAGCGCGGGAAGGTTTGCTGCGCTTCAGGCGATCAAGCGAGACATTCGCGCGGTGTGCGGAGAAGGCTTGCCGGAAAGACGCGATGGGACCTTTTCCAGCTTGGTCTCCACGCTCCGGTCCGGAAAAGCTGCAGGCAGGAAAGGAGGGAGAGGGGTTGTTACAGCCTGATGCCAGTTTTATCGCTTCAGGCATGGGGAAGCTGCACGGAAGCCTCTTACCAGCTCAAGTTTGTGGTACGAGAAGGGCGAATAATCTTTTTGTGATTTTTGGTGGCAGGTGCAGACATGTGGAGAGGGCGTCGGGGTAGGCCGCGGCTGCAGTTAGCCCGCCGGAAAGATTGCGAAGAGCGCGCGGGAGAAATTGCGCGCCGCGTGGCGCAGTCCTGCTCTTGAAGTCTTAGAAGCGCCGCGCAAACGCCTCGCATAGATGTGTGTCAGGGCTTTAAAGCATTGGCTTTGGCAACTCAAACTGAGCGCCGCGTTGCGAGCTGCGCTTGTTGATGGCGCTCAAAAGTAATTAGCAGACAACTTACTTGTGAAGCACATCCAGAACACTTGGGAACTGCTCGCAACTTGACCCGCAGCTCTCACCACATCAGAGTGTCAGCCAGATTGCGCGCTTAACGCCGAGACACCGCCGGGCGCCAAAACAACAGCGGCACCACAGCACATGTCAAGCGCATTCGCCTCCCTCCCCTGCCCAAACATCAAGCAAGCACCCCGGCGGCAACGCCTTTCTTTGCCAGCTCCGGCTTGTAACAAGAGAGCATGTTTGGAGCCAACGCAGCGTGCATTCTGTGCCGGTAGAGTTTGCCCGCTTATAGCGCATGCGGGTGTAACTCACTTGTGTACACACAACGCACCTCCTTGCATTGTGACGTTTGTTGTCTGGGTTGCGCATGTGCGTCTTGGCAGCCCGCGCCCCCTCGTGCGGTTGCTGCGCCGTTCTGTGGACAGTGTCGCCCCCTTGTCAAGCAGGCTGCGTCTGGGTTGCCCTACATCGGCTGGTCAGCCGGCCGTTTTGCTACTGCAAACCATCCGCTACTTTGCAAACATCACAAAAGAAGCTGAACTCCTCTCCCTTCCGGCCTTCAGCCTCCTTTACCCCCCTTTCAAGTTCTTCGCTCCTTTGCCCGCTTAATCACAAAACTTCGAGGCTGGCGCAAGTGACAACCCTCTGCAAACTCGCTCGGATAGAAAGAGCGCAAAAAACATTTGCCTGTATTGAGGGCAACTCAGGGCATGAAACTTCTCAAGTTTTCACGGTTTGAAAACCAAGAGGGGCAACGCCTAAAACCTCCGCACGCGCACTCGCTACAGATTGACCACCGCTGAGGCAACGTTCCACACACGCGAGGCGGCGTAAGCAGGAGGCGTAAGCAACATTTCCGTCAATTAAGTTGCGTAAGAGGGAGGGCGTGGGCAAAACATCACACGTTTAGGGCATGGCCCGCCCAGCGCGTGTAAGTGGCTGGCGCTGTCGCGGGGGCCTGGGGCAATTCTGAGGCAAGGCCGTGAGCAAAGGCTCAGGCCAGGACGCCCGACTTCTCAGCCTCGGCAAGAGTCAAGGCAGCAGCCCAGGCAAGAGGGTTGGGCTCTTGCAACCCAAAATGAGCGCGCTGCGTTGGGCCCGGCTACAATTGTGAAACAGTAGCAGGATAGAACCATGATGATATTTTTGCTGTCTATATGTTTTCTAGGCACAGCGCAGAACAGGTACTTACATGGAATTCGGGATTTGTCCCGCAAGAAAGGTGGGTGTTCTTGATGACTCTGCTTGCCTGCAAAGGCCCTCGGACCCTACACCCAACGAAACCCCATCCGCCTCCACTGGGCTCAAAAGCGGCTTGATTGCAGAGAGTGCGGTTGGGGGGGGTGAGTCCCATTCCCAGCATCAGTTCAGGACACGTAATAGCAGCCTTTGGCCCTGCATCTGTTTCTGCTGACCTGATAGTTGTGAAGCCCCTGCTCGGCACAATGCGTGAAGAACTGCTGAGAGCGAGCGCAGCGAGGTCTTTCTGCATGCCGGGCCTAAGCTCTACTCGTAGAAGAAGGGGCTTTGAGCAACAATTAAATCGTGACACAACTGATTGCCCAAGGGCCAACGGGCTGCAAAACGCAGAGCGAAAGAGCCACTGTTTTTGAGCTTTGGCATCGAATGAGAAACGACTGCGAAAGTTGACGTCTGATTGTGTCAAGCGATTGTGCGTTGGTGCAAAGATGCAATTGGCTCGAAAAAGGTTAGGACTGATGTGTCTTGTGAAACTATCGACTCACGCACTTCAGGGCAATAATTCTTTATGGATGCAAAGATGGTATGGCAGTTGGAGTAGTCTTGTAGACGGTAAAGCCAACGCAAGGATCTTGTGACGATGTCGATGGGTCGGTCATATCATAGTGCCATCGGTTGTCGCGAGTTGGAAATGATCGTAGCTTGGGGAAGCTGGTCGCGGTTGTTGCTCTTCAGTACGAAGGCAAGACGGTGGTAGTAGTTCTTGCTGTAACTACTCTCCGAGGAATATCCTTCGTGCCGATTCTTGCTAGAGCCTTTCCACACAGAGGAGTTGCAACCCTTGTAGTAGCCGGCCTTGTTGTAGTTGTGCTTGTTGTACTCCTTTCATTCCTTCTCGAGCTGGTTGTTGACTTTCTTCACTTTTGCCCTTGAAGTGCACCATGAGAGGGCGTGCCAATCGCTGTCGGTACCTGCGTTCATGAGCATCTTGTGTGCGATGTACTTGAACCGTTCTGCCGAGGACACCTGATAGTCGCTGATGGTTGCTGTCAATTTCGAAAGCCCCTCATCGAAGCAATCAAGAAAGGTCCTGTCATATGAAAACCCCTTGTGGGTACAAAGCCCATGGCGGAGAATGTCGCGGATACCCGCTGATGAGTCGTAGGAAAAGCCAAGGCTGTGGATCTTGTCCATGTTGTGCGGAAGCTGTTCCAGCAATCTTGGAAATAGGGAAAAAGTCAAGTAGGGCCAATGACCTGTTTACAACTGACTAATTGCTGCCGTCAGTGGTCCAAGATGCGGACGATAAACCTGCTGGTTCTTGGTGGACGGTCACTCATCAAACTCCTCCTCGCACGGATCGTCCTTGGCTTTCGGGGTGTTGACTTGGAAGTCGTTCTTCTGATCGATGGTGATGGCGATGATCTCTTCATTGGCTCCATATCTGACCTTCTCAGTTCTTGGAAAAAGCAAGGCCTACGCCAAGATCCGTTCTTGAGCGCGCAGCCACATCCAAGTTTCGACCATCAACAGTGCTCAACATGCTCACAAGAAATCTTGGAATGCTGACAAACATCCCCATCAGCGAGAGACCTACGGCACGGATGATCACTCGCAACAGTGCCCGCATCATCCGCATCAACGAAGGATGCGTTCTTCAAAATAGACACTGCGAGTGATCAGAAACCTTATGGTCTGGCCAGGGCCTTCGCAACGCAGGCTGCACGGGCATTGTCGCGAAGGCACGGGGAGCAAGACCGATTGCGTGTTTCGTGAGAGGCATGCCAGAGTTGAACTTCTCGCTCGTCAACCACATTCGGCGCCTTCCGATGTCAAAACGCGGGTCCAGAGTACCTCAAGCCGAAGTCAGATTGCTTGGCACGCACAGGTCCGCACATGAAGGCGAAGTACTATCAGAAGACCTTGAATAGGAAACTGAGTGTTCCGTACGTGGTGCTGTTCTGTGTCCGGCGGTCTTGATGTCGTGGTGTCGCAAAACGATCGCGCCTCTGCTCGCCGGATATGTTGAAGCGCTGCTGCTTGCGGCTCATTAAGGACATCGATGGGCGCCATGTGAAAGGGTCTTGAAGGTTCCTCATCGTCGGTGGCGTGGGTCATGAAGGACATCTTCTTCTCGTGCCTGAAGGGAATCATGGCGCGCTGATCCTCAATGCGCGGTGGCGCAGAGGTGGGCCACAGAGTGAGGAGTTTCAGCCTTTCTAACAGGACTTCTTGGTGCTTCTTCCTAGGAGTCGTCGTTCTCACGCATGGTTTGTCTCAGTTGCTGGTGGACCGGTCTGCCATGGCTCTCAATGTCAACATATCTTGTGTGTCCTGCAATTCCCCTGACACACGGCCTTGCCCAGGTAGATGCAATTCTGCTGACCTGTCCGGTTGACCTGAACGCCCGAGCGATCCTGACCTTGATCCCGCCGCTCCTGAGAACAAATTTGCTGACTCGATCGGTTCTCCAGAGGTCGGTCATCAGGGATGTCGAGGTGTTGCGGGTTGTTTTCTCGTGTCAACGCGATGGTTGTGACACAACATGGGAAAGATATCAACACCGTAATCACCTGGCTGCTCATAGATGTGACAGCACATGCTGTAGAAGCACTAAACACGCGCTTCTCTGCGCCTTGTAATTACTTCTTTTTCTCTCGTGGTCGCCGGGAACCAAACATGATTGAACCGTTGCCTGAGGTACTAGCTGGCACTCAACGTAGTACTCCCTCATTGTTGAACGGCGCCAGGGGGATCGTCTTCTCTGGCCTTCTGGTGGACGAGTTGCTTTTGGATGCTGGGTTTTTCTGCAAAGGTGGTCGTTCATCCTGAGGAGGAACAATTGCTGATTCGGACTCTTCCGCTGCGCGCTTATTGGGAGATGGCTCTTCTTGCATGCTTTCGTCACTCTCCTGGCGGACTTGCAACATTCGCATGTCGCTGACGATTGGTCTCCCCCAGTCGGCATTCTTCCATCAGGAAAAATCATGCTTGTCTTCTCGGGTTCGGGCGAGGACCTGGGTGGCGAGGCGCCCTTCTTGCCTGAATCATTTTTGGAAGCGCCTTTGAAATCATCGAGAAAAGCGGCATGTCGCAAGGTTGCGCGCACAGTCGTGAAAGTCAAATGCTTTGAGTAGTCACGTGGCTGCGGTCGCAGACGCACATTTCTTGAGTTTCACGCATGGTTGGGCAAGGTTTTCAGCATTGGTAGAGCACAGACTCAAGGAAAATAGCTTCACGCGCTGGATGCGGCGTGACGCACTCGTGCCTATGTGCCCCAACACGCGAACATGCGTTCTGATAGTCCGTCACCTTCAAAGGCAATGATGTCGGGGCCATGTCCTGCGTTGCGCGAACCACTCAACAAGAAATGCCTTGGTATGCAACGTTGTACGGAGAGGTGGGTGTGCTTCTACCCTTACAAGGTTGCCAGCGAGGACTGCCTTGATCAACTCATCTGCTTTTAGCTGACGTCGCTGCGGAAGGTTGTGCATCTGTCTGCTATTGCTTTCCTTCTGCAACATTGTATTGGGCGAACTGTTTCTTTCTGTTCAGGTTGATGTGTTGTTGGGGCTGTTGTAGCAAGGTTGTTTGCATCAGTTCTGATGTGGACGTCTGCAATTCCACCTGTAAAACCTGACCAAAGACGAAGAAACAGAGATGAACCATAGCGCTTCACAAGTCCGTGCAATTCAGCAACAGTTATTGGCTCTGTGGTTGCTGCGACCTTACGCACCTCGCAGTGGACCAGACAGCCTCGATGAACCCTTGCGAAGATCTCGTTCTCCAGCAAGAAAGACAACATGCGCTGCGATGACCTATCCTCAGTGTTGCGATAGGATGCGTCAAGGTGTCCGACAATTCTGGTCTTTCCTTGAAGTTTCGAGAAACGCGTGCTGACTGGAATACTCTTGCTTGTTCTGACTATTCCCCTGAGCGAACCTGGAAGTGCTTTCGTAGTCGGCCAATGGTTTCCTTCTCAAACACGCCGTCACCAACCATAAGAAGATCATCAACATGAAGAGAAATAGGGTCCATGTACTTGTCGACGCAGTTTTTCCATAAGACAGTCAACGGCTCCTAGATCAAATACACACGATGATTCCTTTTCGCTGATCGGTGCTGATCGGGGAAGTCTTCCCACAGTACAGGCACAAGTCTATACGACCTGACGTGCTGCATGTAGGATGTTTCACCATTTCCTTGGTGCGTCATTTAGCTTGTAGGCAGGCTTCGTCCGAGCTGCAGTGTGTGGCGGGTGTCCCATTTCAGGAGGGATCTGACAGATGATGTGTTTGTGCTCATCGTGCTCCTGTCCTCAGATCCGTGTAACAAACATTCCAGCCCTTACTCGCAGCGCCTGCGTTGCAAGTCGGAGACCGCTTCGTGAAGCTGCTGGGCAGTCGGTTTGCCGATCGTGCTTCTGCCTGTCCTGGGCACGTCTTAGGGCCCAACACGCTTTAGTCTTCAGGAAGTTGCCGTCCTTATCTTGCTTGAGGGTGAGGGGCCAACGACCACCTCATTGCCAAGCCGTCATTTGCACTCGAGCAGCTTTGCTTCTAGGGCTTGCTTCTGATAGGCTCTGACTTCGGTCGATGTTCCTTCTTCTCTTCTTCCCGAGGAGGATTGATGTCGCAGAAGCCTCGGGTGATTCCTGGCGCGCAGAGTGCAAAACTAGAAGTGCTCTGTCATCATCTGTCATGCGCTTGCGCAACTGATACTTATCTGTGAACCTCTGTGAGCCCCCGATGAGAGAATCCACACCGAGAGGTCTTCCCTCAACTTTGCTAAGTAGAACAGGTCTTCCCTCACTGTCTCTTGGAACAGTACAGTGTCCGGTGCTAAAAGCCTGGCGGTCATGTAGGACCACTGCGCCTCATCGATCACAAGGCCGGCGTCCTGATCATTGTAAGCTCTTGTCCTCGCCAAGTCGTCTGACCCATCGTCTTCCTGATCAGAATATCTCCGAGCGCGTTGCGAACTTCCAGCGCTGGATGGTCTTGGATCGTGAGGAACAAGTTTTTTCAACATCTGCACCCACAGGCAAGTTGGCTGAGTTGTTCGGGTTGTCTCTTGGCAAGGAGGCTGGTTCGTTTCTGGGAGAAGAATC